CTATAGTCAATGAGGCATTGAGCAATCAGATAGCTTCAGCTGATCTTGGAGAAAAGAATCACTTATCAAAGGAAAAAGTGTTTAATCCAGATAGATAAGATCACTCCTGACTTTCTGCTAGGATTTTTCTGGTAGACCACATGATATTAGCAGTTGCAGCGGTTGATGAGAACACAAATAATGCATTTTTCTCTTGCAGTTTTTGTTCATCCCAGGCCATCAGATTCTTTAGCTCCTCCCTTCCTCTTGTAATGCTGTGGTGCCCTTGGTGCAGTTCAAAGATTTCTTGTTGCACAGATGCGTGGATACCATTTAAATAACCCGCTTCAGTGTATGAGATGATCCCCATGATTCTTGAGATTTTCAAGAAGTGGTTGGATAGGTATCCATCTGGAATAACTTAAAAATATCACATACTGTATCTATGCAGGGGGTTGGACTACATGGCCTTTGAGGTCCCTTCCAACCCTATGGGTACTTTTACACATGTTCCGATGCATTCTGATTAGTGTTCTAATCAAAACGCATTAGCATGCTGCAGTGTCTCATGTATTCAGCTTCCCACCAAATTTCAAAATGGTAGCGGGGGTGCTTTAACTAAAGCTTCCTGAATGAACTTTAGTTAAAGTGCCTCACTGCCATTTTGAAATGCAGGACACTGAATATGAGACACGGAGGGCATTTTAATTAGAGTGGCTCCTGAGAGTCACTCTTATTAAAATACCCTTCCACCCCCACCCCAGAGCAGGTGGATAGGCACCCTATGATTCTGTGCGCCAAGGAACCTAAATAAAGCTTCTTAAAAATAAGCACCAGATAATAGGATTGGATTTTTGTAGCAATGGGGTTGAAAGGTAAAAAATATGGAGGACTGGGTTGACTATACGAAGGTGGGCTTTGGTATGTTAAGTCCTTAGATGACTTCCTACACTGCATCATCAGAGCATATGTGCTTTTTTTTTTAGTGTTTTTACTATAAAAAAGAAAATAAAAGTTGTTTGAACCACAAAAAGCCTGACATGGTAGATGACTGTTTTTTAGCAAGGATTGTGATTTGATGGTTAGGGAATGGAGGTGAGTCAGGGTACTGGATGCTATCCTGTTTCTTCGCTGAATTTTTTTGTGGTTTTGACTATTTCACCTAACTTCTCTGTGCCTCAGTTTTCCCTGTGAAATGGGAATAATTGTCCAAACTGTATAGCAATCTAAGCTCTTCAGGTCCTAGCTGAAACTTAAGTGCAAAGTGCTGTGGATTTTCATGGTTCTTGTTTTCACCATGACATCCCTTAAATGACCAAAATTTGCCATGACAGGAACAAAAATATCATGGCCCAGTTTAAACTGTTGCTTCCTAACGGCTTCATCCATTCTGGGTTTGCTAGTTGTATATATACAGGTCTGTGCTCCAGCTGACAGCTCTGCTTGTTATATTAACTCCTGTAGAGCCAGAAACATTGTTCTGTGGTTCAGTGACTTGATGCATCTGATATGTTGTACTGTCTTGGGTCAATAAGAGTGCAACACGTGCAGTAATTCCACGTATTATACTAAGAATCCTTTTGATATTTTCAGTGGATAAAGCTCACTCTCATGTCTAATGACCAGTTTTAAACTAATTAACTTAATCATTATTTTCTAAGGCAGCCAGAGCAATTCCAGCACATCTACATATTACCTGTAAATCATAGATCCTTCCATACAAATGCTCCTCTAAAAGTTTAGCACCATCAGTTAATTTAGATTTATCTTTGTTAATATAAAATACAAGACTGCTAGTGTATTTTTTGCATCATATGCTGCTTCAGTTTCTATTATGCAAAGCTGATTTTTACTACAGTAGGTCTTTTACTTCTGAAGAACTAGAGTGGCATTGTAAAACTGGCATGTTAGACTCCTAAGCTAAATGCAGGTCTGGGAAATTCTTGTGGTTAGATACATTAGGAGCCAAGAGAGTTGGGTTCTATTCCTGGCTTTGCCACAGATGGCTCCTGTGACCTTGAGTAAATCACTTCAGCTTCCCTATTTTAGGGTATTGTGAACTCCAAGCATTTTACATTTCATGCATGCTTCTCTCTTTCCC